GGTGAAAATACGTTGTCTCGGGAGGAGGACATTGCCTTGGGTGCTTGCTTACAGTAAACGCAAAAAATTGACAGAAAATCTTGTATAAATGCACCCAAACTGCTACATCTTTGCAGTTCTTGCACATCTGGTATCAGTCAGTGTAGATGCCCCTTTTCAGTGCATGCCTACCCTTAACAATACAAATCCTTACTTGCTCCAGCCACGCTGCCTGGGTGCAGCTCGATTAACAATTTGGCCTCCTGCTGTCACCAGGAAGGGCCTGGCCTTCCCCTCTGGCTGCCTGGGCTGGCTCGCGCTAGCCCCGGGTCTCCTCTGCCTGCAGCCGGGCGATTCAGCTTGTCACACAAAACCCGTAGTCTTGTTCCTGGGACAGTCGTCTCCTTTCAGAAGTTGGACTGGGACCATTCATTCTCTGTGGTCAGACAAATGTTCCCCCCCCTCCAAAAAATCAAGATTGAGAAAAAAGGTTAAGAGAAGTAGAGAGCTCCTTGCTGGGGGGAGTGTTGCAAAGGGAGGAAGGTGTACAAGGAAGTGGGGCAGCAGCCTTCTGCTGTCAACAGATTACTAGTTTGTCTCAGTCTAGCTGCACTCTTAAACATTGTGAAACCGCCTAAAAACCCATTACTGCTCTGTAGCAATACAGGCCTTTTCTAAGTCTGTCTGTTCCTGAGTTGTCATGGAGACATGCAAAATAAAAGGTAAGAGTGGGGGGATGCTTTTCAGATAAGGGTTGATGAGATTTGAGAGGTGCTTGGGAAATCTAGGTGGTATCTTCTTGCTGAATGTGAACTGGCACAAAGTCTGTTTGATCTCTGTGTCTGTCTGAGACCATGCCCTCAGTATAATTCCAGAATTGGCTTATCAAGAGCCATCTGTGTGCTTTTAGCCAAGTAGGCCTCTATGGTCATTTTAAGCAAAACTGCAACCATCTATTAATACTTCACTGAACACTAAGAACCAAAGATAACAGCAGCTCATTACTAAGCTTTTTTCTCTTGTTTTTAATTAACTGCAGCTATGCATGAGTCTGGAAGTTTTGCAGCATCACGTTCTAGGCGTGAGAAGAAGTCTAGAAGAGGCCAGCAAGAAGCACTGGAACGTCTGAAAAAAGCCAAAGCCGGCGAAAAAATAAAATATGAGGTGAAAATTCCTCATCTTTTCTTTTTAATAAAAAGTGAATGTGAGCTGAGATGCTTAACTACCCTGTATACATATCTAAAAGTTATGGGAAACAAAATCTGCCTTTCAGATCAGCTTTTGTTTTTAAACGGTGTATGTTTTTCAGAAAGTAACTGTAATTGTTTTGCTGCTTTCTGATATCATTTATTTGTTTCTTTCTGTTTTCAAAACTAAACCAATTTTATTAACTGCAAGTCAAACATGCTTGATATTACTTGATAACTATCCCACAGGGAAGGACCAACTTTTAAAATTTAATCGCATAATTAATGTTACGATAGGAAGTACTTTTTTTTTTTTTAAACTTCAAATGAATTTCAAAGCTTTACATGACCGAAATTCATTAATATTGATATGCTATGTTTCCACAAGGAAACCAAAATTTAAGTATTTACCTGGTAGAACTGAAATCTGGCAGTGTAACAGTGATACAGTCCAATTAATTGTAATGCCAACAGGAAGCGACTTCTACATTGAGGTGGATAAATCTAAAGAAGTCTGAATTGTGTAGATCGTTAACATGCAAACTTACTCTGAGACACAAAAAAGCATCTTCAGCATTATGCTTGGACACATCAGATCACCTTCCTTTTCATTGAGCTCGTCTTGGTGTTTGAGACTAGAGCCAAAGGTCAGAAGTCTCCATTGCTAGGATTTTTTTGTTTGGTTTTTTTTTTTTTTTCCATAATGTGAAATGAGCAATAAAGCCAGTCAGTTTCAAATGAAGTCTCTGCCAGTGCTTCAGTAGATTTTGAGTTTCAGTATACTGGGATAATTTTAAAAATTGATAACTTGTCTTTTGTCACTGCCCAAAAAGAAACTTAAACTGAATGAATAACTGCGCTTACAAGTTGTGAACGATGTAATAGTCTAGGAAACCATGCATTTCTGGGGAACTTTTATGTTCTTACTGATGACCTATGTTAATAAGTAATGGTATGGGAACTGTTAATCCTCAGTATGCCTTAACTGTAGGTTGAAGAGTTCACAGGTGTTTATGATGAAATAGATGAGGAAGAATACTCCAAGATGGTTAGAGAACGTCAGGATGATGACTGGATTGTTGATGATGGTAAGTTAAGATTCATTTGGAGAGTTATTTCGATTATAGTGCTATAACTCAATTAGGCTTCATAATGTTCATGATTTGAGGTAAGTTATAGTTAGTACATTCTTACAAATTGTTTTAGGAGACAAGAAAAAGGTAAGCTTTTGTATGGAAATGAGTCTTTTGCATTGTTCTCATAGTAGTGTACTAGGATGGTAATGAAAATATTTTTCCATTAAGAACTGTTTTTGAAATTTTATTTCCAGTTATCAGTGATGTAACTTTAAAAAGAAGCACTGTAATTAATAATTTCTAATTAAACACGTAATGATATATTTAGTCTAATAAAAGATACAGCTGAGAGTGCTGTAGTTTTTAACACTTTTGCATTTATAACTTTTGCTCTGTATTAAAGGGGAAAAAGTGTTTAAATATGTAAAACTTGATTATGAATATCTTTAGAAATATCAGAAGACAGAATTTAAAATGTAAATTTTTAACAATTTGTTTTTCTATAGATGGCATAGGTTATGTAGAAGATGGAAGGGAAATCTTTGATGAAGATCTGGATGATGATGCTCTTGGTTCCAATAAGAAAAGTAGGTTGAACATGACCACTGTAGAATGTCTTCCAGTAGCTTTTAAAAGGTACCTAAAACGGGCAGCTTCTTGGCATCAGTATGTGGTGAATATGGCCAAATGACATGTTACTTGAAGCTCTGTAGTTCTGTGCCTGTGACTGTGGATTTTGTTTAGCCCCCATGATACAGAAGATAGAGGTCCACAAATTGAGGTCAAATCACTGCTAACTACTTCAGCACTACGGGGGAAATTTTGTTTACAGTCTTCCGTGGGATATATATTCACTTCTAGAACAAATACATCTAGGAATGATCTTGGTTTGCAAAGCCGGTGTCTAAAGGATGCGTGGTCTCTCTTGCCACTAAAATACTTGCATGCTTTTAAGGATCTGGGATCAAATGATTTTGCCAACTTTTATTAAGTTGGTGGCGAACAGAGAAATTGAGTCTGATGTTGAGAATCCAAGCCTAGTGCCAAACTCCTGGACACTCATGTTTTTTCTGGAGATGCTTCCATGTAAAGTATCTCAGTCCTTTTTCTGGAGTATGAACTTGAGTATGCAAAGATCATCTCTGACCTGACTAGGAAAGATAGGGTGCTGGTAGGGTTTTGCTTTTTTTTTGTGTGTGTGTGCATAACAGCCATTACAAAGCTGGCAGCAAATGAAAGATGATTAGGCTTCATTTCAGCCAGCAGTGTAAAGGTGGAAGAAATAGACTACCTCAGCTATCTATTCCTGCTAATAACTGGACCCTTAAACACTGAGCTTTTCTGACGTAGAATTCACCATTTTATATTTTTCTGTAGGAAAAGGTGGCAAAACATCCACAGTGGATAAAAAGAACGTGAAAAAATCTGTGGTGTCAAAGCCAAACACAATTAAGTCTATGTTTATAGCCAGTGCTGGGAAGAAAAACACAGATGTAAGTTTTTACATTTTTTAATTTAAAGATTTCTAACTTGTTTGCAATGTTTTAGTGGGAGTGGAATAAATCAAGGGCTCATTTCAGTTTCTTGTGTCTAGCAAGACATAAACTCCTATTGCAATCTCTCGTGTATGGAGCATTCCTGAAGACGTTGTGTGTGTTTTGTAGAAACTCTTTAGTCATTTGCTGCTGGTCTCCTGATTGGGTTTGCACAGGTAACTAAGAACTGTTTGGCTAATCTGTTATCTTACAGAAAACTGTGGACCTGTCAAAGGATGATTTACTAGGGGATATTCTTCAAGATCTTAATGCTGAAGTAAGTGTATTAATAAAATCTGCTTGAAACACCTTAATCCATTCATTTTTCTTGCCATGGAACATATCAAGAAAATAAAGTTCTTCCTAAAACTAGACCATCTAAGATTGATTTCTTCCACAGCATATCTGCTTGGTATATTCCATGTATGTATGCAGTCTACCCGTCATCTCCACCATGCAGAAGTTGCATGACTGTATTGGTTTGATAAGCGAAAGCTACTGTGTCCTGATTAGAGATGGTTTATATTAATGTGATGTAGAGCCTGTGCTAATGCCGCCTGCTAGGTTTTAGTCAGCTTGGAGTGAAACAGGACTTACCTGCATCTGAATCATGTGTACCATGTATGCGTATCACCACGCTCCAGCCAGTATACTGTAGGATATTTCCGTCTGGCGTGTTTGGGTTCACGAGAGGAGCTGAGGGAGGACTGTTTCAGCAGATGACGTAGCCTGAACTTCCATCTGCCTCCTCCTGCTTTCCACAGTTTGCTACAGAGAACCAGATTAACACTTCCTCTGAGTTAGGAGCGCAGGATGGCTGCTGTAGCAGAGTTGGATTTTCTCAAATGAGGCTGTTCCTCATCATTAATGACTTTTCAATGAGTTAATGCCCCTTAGCAGGATTTCTTAAAACTGAAAGAATTGCTGACGTGTAAACCGTGAAACTGCTGTAGTGGTGGGATACTGAATTGAAATATGTTGTATCATAATAAGCATAAAGTGTTTTTACAGAGCAATAAGGGGGGGTACACATGTTCCAGTGTAAAGTTGTTCTCTTGGTTTTGTGCGCTTACTATTGTTACTCCTCCCTATGACATCTGATTGAGGGTTATAATATCTTAGGCTGTCAAAAATCCTCAAATCATTAAGCAAATGTATTTTAATGCTGTCAAATTTTGTGGAGCATTGATTAGGGGAAATAATGCTAATAGTTGCACTATGGCTTCTATTTACTTAAGTAGTAGTTAGCTGTTTTTTTGGCTTTGTTGTTTGTTCTCTGAAATTTCTTTTGTTATTAGCTGTTGATAAGGATAAGTATAAAATATCTGTACATGTAAATAAATTACAATGGGTTTTCCTCTAGTGTGACAGTGCTGAAAGAACACTTCTGCCTTTCTTAAGGCATGTGTGCTCAGTACTACTGTTTCAGCAGACATGAAGAACATCCTACCAGTTATTCTGATACTTGTGCATTAAAGGCACAGTTAGCTATTGAAATGCCCACTGTTTGAAAACTGTTTCACTTATTGATGACAGTTTTTTCTCTCAAACTGTTTACCAAAAAAATCTAGTGTCTGTCTTCATGGGCTGATTGCTCAGATAACTTTTTCTTTTTACGTGGCTGAGTTGTATATCAGGAGGTGTGTTTTCCTGGCAAATGAGAAATACTGGTGGTCTTCTTTCTCTTTGATGGAAAACGTTACTAACCAAGGCAAAATAAAACACTAAACAACACCTCTTCATTTTGTCACTTTCTCTTTTCTTTCAATATTCAGACTGTTCAGATAAGTCCGCCACCAATTATAATGCTGAAAAGGAAAAGATCTGCTGGAGTACCACTGAATCCTTTCTCTGTGCAGTCCCAAACTCCTAAGGTAAAGGAAAAAATGAAAAAAGTTCTCATTAATAAGTGTTAATCTGTATTTCGGTTGATATGAATACTGTTGTCTTTTATTTCTGCTGCTAGAAATTACCTTTCTCATTAGCTTCCTTAGCAATGTTACTGTGTAACCTCATGCATTTTTCGTCTTCACCTTCTATGTTAATACATAAACAGAATACAGCTCTTTCTGTGTCTTTAGTATGGTAGTAGTATATAGCTGTTACATTTGGCAGGTGAAACTTTTTATAATGTTAGGTGCATCACATGAAGGTGAGCTTCTGCTTTGGCTTTTTTTCCTAAGAGTAGAAAAGACCCTTGTGGCAAGGAAAGGATGATGGGAAGTGAAATAAGCAGAAGAAAGAGTATTTGTAGCTGTGGAAATGGAAAGCAAATGGAAAATTGAAGCTGTGGATAGAAGTTTACCCTAGTGCAAGATTTTGGAGTGAAAGGAGGGACAGGCTGCTAAGGATGGAAGGCTAGCATTTTGTTAAGAGTTCTGGTAAATGAGAAGGACTTTATAGCTGTAAGTACAATGAGATATTTGGTAAGAGTCTGTAGAGGGCAAATAGAGTAGAGTAGATAAATCTGATTTGTGAAACCTTGTGTAATAGTGACATCAACTCTTATGTTGAAAATAATCACCAGTGGCACTCATTTCAACAGTTGTGTTGTAGCCTAGACGTAATTGAAAAAGAAAAAAGGGAGATAAGTAAGAGAGGATCTTTGTCCTTATGTGCAAAGACCACCGTGCAAAACAGTGGTCACTTTTAGTAGGAAACATTGAGAAGGAAATTAATTCCCAGACAGGCTGTTCAGATGATAGTTTCTGTGGTCCTAGGAGGAGGAATTGGAGATTTTAGACAATGAAGATGAAGAGGATGAAGAGTGCAGCCTTAGAAAATAAATAGGCATAAAAGACAAGATGGCAGCGATGCTTTCTACTTCAGGAGGTGAGCAGAAATATAAGTATGAATAAATTCATTTGGCTGAGCTAGCAAAAAATTGTTGGTGAAGGTAGATTAAATAATGTTTGCTTTCTGTTTAAGGCGAGTGAAGGGCCGAGTTTGGTGTTGGCCACAATAGAAGTAGCTGTACTGAGATTAAAACCCTAGAAATGATTGTGTGCAACTCTAAATTCTATGTCTGTAAATAACAGCTTTCCCTGAAGATAAAGGTTTTGGACCTCGCTGCAGGTTAAGGACTGGTAGATGCAGAGACCTGTTGTTGGTCATGGTGGAGGCCACTTCATACACAACTTCTGTAAGAAGAGGTTCTGTAACTGCTGCCGTAGTGGTATCCTGTCTGAAAAACAAACTATGTGCTTTTTGCCTCAGAGTTCAGGCTTGCAGAGCATGCTGAAATGTGGTTTCTTTGTTTTCCTCAGTCTCCCTGTCATGTCTGTAGCACGAAGAAATCCAATGGAGAAGCACTCTCTTCTCTAGACCCATGGTGTCCTGTAGACATCTTGAACTCATTACTGATATGAACAGGTGTAAACTGCTATATTGGCCTTCCCAGTTGTTCCAGGCTCTGTGCCTGCCTGACATATATACTCAGTTGACACAGAGGTTTTAATTTAGGAATGCAGTAGTGCTACGTGAGAAAAATAGTTGAAGTAACCACAAACTTAATTAAATGTCAGCCATGGCCTGGGCCTGTTGTAAACGGCTTTTTAAAATTATATTAGAAACACATCACAGCAGAAATGATACTACAGAATTTTAAGTTTACTTTTGAGGAGTTTTAGCTATCATGCTGCAAAATATGTGGAGCTTTTCTGTAGCCCTGGTTACTAGTTCTGCAAATAGCGAGTGCTAGATTTTTTTTTTTCCTTTTTTGCTCTTAAGAGATTTTTTTTTTAACTCATGGCTAAAATGTCTTTCAGGTAATAACCCCTATATCAAAGAAAGCTCCTCCTCATCTCAGAAAAGAAGCTCTTCCTCCAGCTTTATTTCGTCCTAAACATCCCAATTACAGAGCAAAATCTGTCATAGTCTCTGAAAATGAGGATACCAAGTATGCGCAAAAAGCTACGGAAAATGGGGGAATAGTGAAGACAATAGAAGAGAAAGCTATTGAAGGTATCAAAAAGAAATCAAAACCCAGTTCTGGAAACTTTAAATATGGCATATTAGTGTTAAAACACTTCTTAGTTTATACTAGTTAGATGCTTAGATAGCTTAAATGTGATATTTTGTTTGTGTGTTAATACTGTATATTATGTTCATGCATATAGTGTGCTATCTATGTATACTGCTGTAGGATACAGTGTGTCATTTTAATGACTCAAGCCTTTAGTTCTATGTGCAACACTTCCAGATGATGATCAGGGAATGATGGATTTTGATGAGGAGGACTTTGATGAACCTATGGAAGCAGAGCATGTGGAAACTATACCTGAGACAGAAGAAAGCTTGAAGAGAGACAAGGATATTGAAAAGAAAGAGGCAGAGCAGCTGGAATTAGAGAAGAAAGAGACATCTGTCTTGTAAGAATCTTTTTTTTTTTTCTTCCACCAATAAGCCTTAGATTTATCTTCATATTTGTCTTTGCCAATGGGATAATTGTGATACAGACAGAATGATAATGCTATGTGATGGTTTTTTTGGTAGTGACATTAAAAATGGTAATGTTGAACATGCTGATAGCTACTTAATTGAAAAATACTTGATGTTTTTGCGATTTAGCACGTGACAACATAACACGTATTTCAGTACATTGAGGAGACTCAATGTGGGTGTTGAACAATGAATTTTGATGCCAATAAGCCAAAATGAGGAATTGCTGATGAGGCTTATTCTAAGCAACTATGAAGATATTTCATAACATTAGTTGTAGTTAAAGGTATTGTCGCTAAAGGTAATTTTATGTGGTGAACATATGCATCTCTGGAAATAGGAAAAAAGGGGGATTTTCCCCATTGTTTTTATTGTTTGGATGAATCTTGAATCATATGTTTCCATAACTTTAAACTGTAAAATATTTGAATGGTCAAAAAGACTTAAACATTTAATGACTGGAAAGGTAGTTTTGTTGAAATAACCTGTTGATCCCACTGAGCAACTCGTACAGATGGATGGATATATTTGTTATGTAAAGGCTTGAATGACCAAGGCTGAAATACCAGGTGAATGACTTTTAAAGCCTGTGTGTTGTGTACTGAGAACCATCCTTGTATGTGGGTTTCTCTCTGTCACTCCATCCTTCTTTTCAGAAGAAATCTGAGGAAACCCAGCGGTTGGCAATGTTGCTTGGTAGTGGAAAGAGCAACAAAAAGTCTGAGAATATAGGGCTGAAAAAAGTGAAACGGTGATTGTGGCAAAGGCACAATTTTACTTCTTGTTTCTTTCTTCTGCAAAATCTGCAGAAGTTGTTCTCTTCCAGATATCTCATGTTGGGACAGAATTGATGAGGACGAAGCTGATCTAGCAGTGGCAGAAGTTCAGCTGGACCCCGATCTCCTTCCACTTGTGAATGGGGAAAATGAAGATCAAGTCTTAAGGTTTTATTGGCTGGATGCTTACGAAGATCAGTACAGTCAGCCAGGTAACTATTCAGTTAAAGGCAGAAAATGCCCTTCTGATTCTTTTTATGTAACTGGGATTTTCAGACTTGCCTAAATTATGTGTAGATACCCCGTCCCTCTGCGCTCTATAACTTGTACGTTGATCTCTTGTTTTTCTGCGTTTCTGTCCTTGGTGCAGGGCACTATGACTGGGCAAAGAAAGAATGTTGTCTTTTGGTCTAGTATAGTAGTATGGAAATACAAAGGGAGCTACTAGCACTTCTCAATGTTAGTGACCCACTGGCCTTCTTAAAACCCTGTGCGCTCCAGGAATAAGCTCATACTATTAATTTCTTACTCAGCGGTGCAAGAACTGAGCATGCTTTCTTCTTGTTTCTGGAAATGTAACTTAAAATTCTAGTGGAAAGCCAGTACAATAGCAGTTGCACGATTTTGTACGAAGGAAAGGTATGCCTATCAAGGGGGGAAGGTGGCCTGAAAAATATATGCTCTGTCTAGATCCCTTTATTCAAACTGTCTAAATCTGGAAGATTGTCTCTGGATTAACATCCCTAAAATACTTTGTGCAGTTGAAGTATGAATCCTGGCTGTCATCGTCTTCAAAACTGTGGCATTCTGATCTCAGCCCTGACAAAAGAAGTCGTGTCCACATCTGTTCTAAGCGCTTCCCATCCGTCCTCTCATTTCATCAGCAGCTTTAGGATCTTGGGTTTCTAATTTGTGCTTCATGTAGGTTTACCAGAAGGTTCTTCCATATGTTGTTGAAGGTTTTTTGGGTTGATGCTGTAAGCATTGAGTCAGATATGTTTCTCTGTTACACCTTTTGTTGTGAGTTGGGATGCCAAACTTAAATATGAGACTGTGCTAGGCTGAACAGCTTGGTGATGGGAGTGGTAATAATCATAGATATCTTGAGGAAATCAATGGCTCTAATATAAAATTGCTACTTTTAAAGACCCCACTATTGTTTTTGTTCTTTTTTTTTTGTCTTTTAAGTCAGTGGTTGCTGAATGGAACATAATTATGAAAGGATTTCTGTTCCTCGCATGCAAGGAGTGTTCTTTTCTCATTATGACTTTTTCAGGATTGAATAATAAAGACTGCACCTGTTTTCAATTAGTAGTGTAGAAGGGAAAATTTTGATACTGCTTTTTGTTTAACATGTTCGTGATCTTTGTTTATGCCTCATTTGCTGTGATGTCAAATGCATTGCCTGAAGAGTAAATACTATAGCATAATCATAAGACTCTTTCAAACTTAATGATTTTTTGGAGGCTTACTTTTCATAACTCTCTTTGCTATCTTAGGCAGAGAACTTGAGAATTGTAATCCTATTAACATTTTAAAGAAATAACGAATAAAAATTACCCTTTCTTTCCCCTCTGCAAGACATTTTCCCTGTCTCTTGACTTTGCTTGCCTTTTGGTTCATTGGTAACATGATCTTTCTTTTTGCAGACTTTGTGTTTTATAAGCTTTACTCCTATTTTTTCTTTCTTTCTTCTTTCTGTGATTAGGCTTACAGGGGATAGGTCCTGATATCTCTTCTCTCATTTCTTGGTTTTACATATGAAATGTCTCTGAAAGCTCTTTGAAGTTAGCCCTGCTTTCATTGTGGGTAGGTGAGTGGGTGGGTGTTGGACTAGGTGACCTCCAAAGGTTCCTTCCATTCGAAATTACTCTGATTCTGCGAAATCTGGGGATTAAGACCACTTATTTGTCCATGCTAGAGTTGACTGAAGTTTGTCTTTGCAATCCAGGCAGGCTTTTACCCTGTCTTTTGACTGGCTCATGAATGCTTCTTTCTACCTCACCTGCTTATATGTACGCCTCTGACAGGTTAACTTCTCCATGCTCTTAATATTGCCAGCTGTTCGAGCAACCAACTCCCATTTTGTGGTGTCTCCCATGGTTTCATCTTCCTGTATGATACAAACCTATTTGAGTTTTTTATACCTTTCAAAAAGAAAAAAAAAAAAGATTGCTCGGGAGAACAACTTCATCTTCCCTGTCACTTAGGTCTGTAATTTGAGTTCTTTCTAGATCCTTCTATTCAAACTGTCTAAATCTTGAAGATTGCCTCTGTATTAAAATCTCTAAGATACTTTGTGCAGCTGAAGCTTGTATCCTTGCTCTCATCATCTTCAAAACTGCAACATTCTCTGTCCTTGACAAAAGTAGTTTTGTTCACATCTATTCTAAGCACTCAAGAAATGATTTTTCTTAGCCTGTCACTCTAACTCTGTCATCCGTCTTAGTGCATCTTCACTGATTTATCTTTGATCTAATGGAGTAAGAAAGGTGCCTTTACATGTGATAGATCGCGTGGCAAAGATAAATTATAACTCTTAACCAAGGACTTGTTTGTGCATTGTCAGACCAAGGAGAAACGCAGGTTCCAAAATCTTCCGTACGTAAAACTCTCTTTCACTGAGGCAGTCTCAGCTCTGATATTTCTGATTTCAGTAGTAGTAGTGTACTGTAGGAATAGTGTCTTTCATGTAATCAAATTCCAAATTATTCAGAGTTTGAAGGGAACTCAGGTGAAGCCAGGTTTTTGAGTTGTACTCGGAAGTTTATTTTACTTGTAATTCACAAACTGTATGTGAAAGTCAACTAGCCTTGTTCTATGTTATTTCAAAGTTTAACATCACTTGATTAGCAGTTTGCAGCATTTCGTGCTAATGTCATGTTCTCTGTGGCTCAGAGATGTGCATGTACAATAATGACGTCCATAGTGAAGTCAGTTGCACTAGTCCTGCTCTATATAGGCTTTCTGAATGTCTATGTTGGTTACAACTGCTGTCTTAGCATCCAGAATTTCTTGTGATGTCATACATCTTTCGGTGTCCTCATTTGTTAAGAATAGTCAGTTGAAAACTTTTTAGAGTTGATCAGCTTCTAGTTGTTTTCTTCAGAATGTATTTCTACAGGTTTTATTAGTAGTAGAGTCTTGATAGCATGGTACTAAAGTGTAGGAAAAATGAGTTAATTGTACTGGTCTCGCTGAAGAATGAAAAATTGTAGATCACACATGTTTCAGGAGTGATTGACAGCACAGACATTCTGATTATCTCAGCTTTCACTGTCTTCTCTCTCCTTCCTCCCTCTTCCCATGAATTATCAAACTAATGTAGGTAGAAATGGAATATCAGAACGGAATTCTGAGACTGGCTGTGTGATGCCATTTTGAATTTCACATAGCAAGGTGTTACTATAGTGATGGAGGTAGGGGCATGAAGAACTATATAGGTATCTATTTGTAAAGCTGGTGTTTAAAACAATTTGGAATGTGCTGATACATCAGAAAGATTTGTTGTTCAAGGACCTAAACCAGAAATGGTTGTGTTTCTATGCAGGAATATGTAATAAGCTGCTTTAAGCAACATTAAGAATGATTAATTTAAGAATTGCATATTGAATTCTTTGCTCTGCTCTTCCTCCTTAGGTGTGGTATTTTTGTTTGGCAAAGTTTGGATTGAATCTGCAAACACCTATGTCAGCTGTTGTGTGACAGTGAAAAATATTGAGAGAACTGTTTATCTACTGCCACGTGAAACAGTAAGTACATCTTTTAAGCATGTCAAACATAAGTACTTTTCATTCTGCTGATGGCAGGTTATGAGTTCTAGTAGTGTGTTTATGGGAACTGTTGAAGCTGGTGTTGTCTGATGGAGATGGTAAAGCTAAGTACAATGTATACACGGTGTATCGCATGTGGGATGCAGAGTAGAGCGTTGCTTCTTCCCCCTGACCCTAAGTAACAACTGCAGACAAATTGTTTCCTTTAGACTTGCTGCTTAGGAAATGAAGTTGTCTTGAAGTATTATTAGAAAACTTAGTGCTTTTTAAACACTCTGTTTCAAATAATATTTTCAAAATTTGGGTTTTCTTGGTTGATTGCATTGTAGTTTTCCCTTAAAGAAGAGATACATGATTCATAATAGCAAAGCAAATTTCAACTTATTGGTCATGTCTGCTGGCATTTTTTGTTAATTTGTAAAACCTGACTTGTGTTTTTGAGGAAATAGACTTATCCACTGGCAAAGAGACGGAGACTCCAGTAACTATAATGAGTGTTTTCAAGGAATTTAATGACTGCATTTCACCAAAGTATAAGATCATGAAGTTCAAATCCAAGGTTTGTTTACAAGCATCCTGTTTGGTCATTTTCTGTTGTTCTGGTTCATAAGGTGGGAAGTCTGTTGAAACACTGTCCAGTGGGGGAGGTTATGCTGAAATGCAAATATATAAGTCCTGACATGTGTAAGTGTATCTGCTTGCAAAAGCTATCCCAGTGTTTTCCCAAATATCCATACTCCTTTAAGAACAGTAAATCTGCAACATGATTGTTCCGCCAGAAGTTTAAACATACTGCTTTTGAAAATACGCATTCATTAGCTTCTCTGAAACTGGGTTGTATGTCAGACTGTCTTTCTTGCTTGCTGAGATATTTTTGAGAATACAGAACAGATAAGAAGTTGTAATACCTAAAGCCTGGGTGTCAGCTTGTGATGTCAGAGTTTAAAATGAAAGATTGTGTTGTCCAGCAGATAGGTCAGCGCACTGGGATTAGACCGTCTTTGCATTTGACCAGATGTCGTATTGAACTTTATGTCTTGGCATGTTTCATCCTTCTTCTCACCCTTGCAGGTTTATCTTTTTAGAATGCATGCTGTTTGGAGCATTTATAGTGCATTTATACAGGAGGTAGCAAGTTGTGAGGACTGTCATCCTGTCTTGAAACTTAAGCTGTTCTGGGCTTACAGTTATGGACAATAGTTTTATAGTGTATTTTGCTGTGTTCTGTTTGCTCAACAAATCCTTAAAAGAGCATTGGAAAAGCAAAATGTTGCTGTAATGGAAAATTTGCACATACAGTAATATAATATTTGTCATAACTCTGCAGGAAAAGAGCTGATATTGCTGATAGTGTTGCAGATTTGGACTGAATTAGTTTGCTAGTGTGAGGGAGCTTTCTTGTTCATTTATATAGAGCATTTGTCTTGGGGCAGGGGGAGGTAGGGAGTTTCTTGGGGGGGAAAGGTGGCTAACGTGCAAGTTAGAGGAAAAGATCTGTTCAGAGTGAAGTGCTCAGAAGCTTCTCCGTATCTTGAAGTAAGATGTCATTAGTATGGCAAAGCTGGCTTTCACTGTAATTGCTGGGTGACGTGGAATTAGTTGTAACTTTTCCCAGGGTGGCAATCTTGTGACATCTTAGGATTCATTCCTGAATAGTTGATCAGGATATGGGGTGGCAAGTAAAAATGCAGGAAGAATGGAATTTAACAATATGTAAATGAGGGAAAATAAAAACAAGTTCATACGATAATTCAGGTTGGAAAGACCCTCAAAATGTCATCTAATCCAAAGCTAGAATACTTCAGGAAATTTAAGTTGTTAAGTGAAAATGTGAGCAGTGTTTCTCAAATGGCAAATTCATGCAATGGGTGACGTCTTTTCATCAACACGTAGCCTTATTTACATTATTCAGGGAAAATGCATGCTTCATTAGAACTTTGTAAAACTTTATTGTAGTTTTTTTTGTTCAAGCTTATTTTCTCTCTCAAAACTGATGCAAATTTAGCTTTTTCAGTTTTATCAGTGTTATTTCTCTTGTATATTTGATTACAACTTAGTCGTTATGTATGGGGATTGGAAAGGAATTAATTTGACAATAGGTAAAAACCAAGTTTGTAATAGGTCACTGTTCAAAGATCCTTTCAGGAATGAGGGAGGAAACTCAGGGCAAATCAATTCTTCATTAAAAGAGAGGATACAAACACTTCTACTCTAGAAATGGAAGGAGGGAGAGAGACCTTTGAAAAGACGCAGATCTGCTAAAAGAATCTTAGGAAACCTCCACCTGTTCCATGGTGTGCTAAAGAAGAATAGTGTGAGTGAGGTAATGGACTAATACAGTCTAACCTTCAAAGATGGCTTTTAAAAATCAAGGTAAACTATATGCAGGAAGTATTCTGATCTTAGTTCAGAGCTTATCAAATTTTTACTGAGTTTACACAGAGTTTGGGATGAAAGACCCAACTGTGTTGTCCAGACACATGACTACAGGGCATCTGGGGTCCTTGGGTGTAACACAGGAGTGATCCCTCACAGGGATAGGGAAGTAGCAGCACTCAGATACTGTTCAGATCTTACCTAGAATATTGTAACATTTGATCACCCTGATGAGGAAAGATTAACTCAAGTGACAACAGGTACAAAAGATGGTAATTAGAAGGATGAGACAAAAGGAGAATCAGTTATACCAGAGATAATTATGAAAGAGCTTTAATTTTTTTTTTTAGCCTAGTAAAGTGAAGAATAATGAGAAGACCTTTTTGCTCTCTAAAAACATTAAAGGGGGATGAGCAGCAAGAAAGCTATTTAAAGGACAGTTTTAGCAAAAGAACAAATTTATAAATTTTAATTAATGAATAATTAGGCAGGATAGTTGAGGACGCAGAGAAGCTCTGGAATAACCTACCAGAAGTGTTTCTAAACAGTAAGAATTCAAATTCTCTTTGAATTCATCAGACTCTTCAGTAAACTGAATTTTATTAACATGGTAAAAGGCTATCCAGCTTTATTTTGCTGCCATAATTTTCTGCTGATTTTGACAGTTACTGCCTCCTGGAAGGGTTTAATGAGAACTGGAGCTAGCAGGAGGGTATGGCACTGGTAATGCAGGGGATAAGAAAAAGGCAGGATTGGAGAGCAGGGCTGTTGGTGGGGCCTTTGTAGGACTATTCAAGGAGAGTATTACCGTAACTCAGCTATTCCAGCTTAACACAAAATTGACTGTGAACAAGTGGCACCAAATCTGGCCAGGATTACATCTCTGCAGCAGGGGGTCCTTTTGCTGCCTGCAAGATAATTGTGGAAGTACGGGGGTTGTCCCATTACTGCGCACTCCTTTTCTTTTGTTCCTCTCTGAGAGAGCTCAGTTTGCCTGGTTAGATACCTTATTAATCTGTTTTTCATAAGGAGTTATCATATTTCTTTTCATTGCAGTCATACCACCAGAGATGTTGTGTGGTTACACAGCCCTTGCATCTGTGTTTCCATAGGGGTGTGCAGGGCTCTCACATTGAAATGTTGGTGGCACTCAGCAAAGTGAATGCTCCAAAAAAGTGGTCTTCACACAGTTGTGACTGTATGTGGTTAAGAGCTAATATGCTTTAGAAGAACTCCCCTGTTCTGTGATGTGCAGCCAGTGTTCCACTACTGTGTTGTTAAAGGTTGGTATTTTGAAAGATTTTTAAAAGGCTAATGGCAATATTGCTCAGGTGAGCAGAGCACTCAGCAATGCATTCAGAGTAACACCAAGTCTCAGTTTCGGCATCATTAGCTGGAAATCAGAAAGGTTACTAGCATACCTGCCGTGCACCCAAAGTTCTTTTGTTCAGAATGCCCAGTTCTGTGATGATGCGGAAAGCCAATATTTATACACTGAGACAAGTTGTTCTCTGTGCGTGTATGCACGTGCATCTTGGCCTTGCCAGCACCAAACTTTGTCCCTGCGAACAGATACACTTAAGCCGTGTCACTTCCTCCTGCACCTGCTGCTAATTGTAGCTTCAATGGGCTGCACTGCTGCCAAGTTAGCAAGTCTTCACAAATCAATTTGAAAGCAGCCTTACTCCACTTAGGAACTTAGCAGCTAATCACTGCTGCTCATTTCTGCTCTCTGAAGGGCCACTTGAAGGGCAGATTACTCTGCAGCAAAGCATTCATTCACTGCAGTTATGACCAGACGCTTCTGTAATTGAGCTGAGCTCTATGGAATAACGCAGATGAATCACTGCAGCATACTATTTTTACACTATGTTCAGCTTGTGTTTGCAACAAGAACTTGTTTGAAGCCTGAGAGGGTTTTTTTAAGTTAAAAAAAAAAAGGGGGGAGGGGCCACCAGTAATATACGCTAAAAGCAGTGCATTGCCATCTGTTATGTTACAGCTATGATGTGCTGCTAGTGTGAGGTGCTGCTTTGGCTCAGCAGTTCAGATCTACATTTGCATGCAAATTTATAATGCTGTTCTGACTTCATAGTGGTGCTCTTGTACATAGATATATTATTCTTTTCTGCTTCCATGTAGCTGTTGATGCCATAGCTGTTTCTGGATTTGCCTTCTTCCTATTTATAGCAGAGGGCCCCCTCCTCTCCTCTTCTACCCAGGCTTTGCAGCTTAAAACTGCAGTGTTGTGAGAAGTAGCAAGCTTAACTGCTCATTGTAGTGCTCTGAGGGAGCTATTGCTGATGCTATTAATTTAAGGGGAAAAAACCCAACCACCCAACCCCAAAACCAAATAACTTCGAGTTTACCTAACTGTGCATTTTTGTTTATTTGTAAATTTTATTCCAATTTATGGTGACTTTGTTTTTTCTTATTAAACTTACTCTAGTTGTATATTATGCTGATTCTATATATAATGTGCCCCTTTTAATTTAAGGGGCCTCTAGGAATTCTTGTAGTAAGAGTAACGTTCTAGCATTGTTATGGCATAACATAGTAACAATAATATATGACAGTGATGCAGACGGTTTGTGAAGTATTAAAGGGCAGAGCATACATACTACAGAGTAGAGCATGGCATTTCAGCAAGTACCATAGTGTTGTTGCGCAGGATATTGTAATTACTCGGAAAATGAAGGTAGTTATTCTTAGAAACTGATAAGCTGTGCATGTTGTGGAAAATCATTATTGTCCTTGAAGAAAGCAGAAGTGATACTTAACTTCTGGTAAAGTTGTACTGAACTTGAGACTGCTTTAACTATCTTCGTTAGAGAGACGTAAACAAACTTGACTACTTTCTAGAAAAACCCAAGTCACTCAAAATGAAAAATACAATACTGTCATAGAAATGATTCTGTCCTAAGCATGTAATAAAGTAAACAGCTGGCAGATGGTTGGGAAATCAGCTCTCTTGGGTGCCTCTCTGAAGTTCTGGTACACTAAAGCATGCAGTATAAAAGCAGGAACTGTGTGCAGTTACAGGGCTATGATCTCATTGGGATCACGGACACGTGGTGGGATAGGACGTGGTTAAGAAGGACAGGCTGGGATGGCGAGGAGGGGGAGTCTCTTTTACGTGTCAGAGCAGTGGGAATGCATGGAGCCCTGCCCAAGGATGGGCAAAGAGCTAGTCAGGAGCATATGGATCAGGATTAGAGGGCAGACTAATGGAGGTGACATCGTGGTGGAAAAGGGAAAGTCAAAGCCCACCTGGAGTTGAATCTGGTGAGGGAGGCAAAGAGCAGTAGGAAAGGCTTCTATAGGTACAGGAGGACTAGGGTAAAATGTGGGCCTGCTGCTGAAAGGGACAGGGGATGTGGTGACAAAGGACATGGAAAAGGCTGAGATACTCAATGTCTTCTTCACCTTGGTCTTTACTGCTAAGTCCAGCCTTCAGCAATCCCTGACCCCAAGAGACCAGAAGGAAAGCCTGAAGCAAAGAATACTTGTCCTTGGTGGAGGAGGATCAGGTTAGGGAACATTTAAACAAACTGGACAGACACAGGTGCATGGGACCTGATGGGATGCACCCATAAGTGCGGAGGGAGCTGGCCAATGTCATGGAAGAAAACAAATATCAAAGCTATCCTCAAGATGGGCAAAGAGGAGGAGATTCCAGGGAACTAGAGGCTGGTCAGCCTCACCTCAAGCCCTGGGAAAAGGTGATGGAGCAACTAATTGTGAAAACAACTGTTTTCCAGACACACAAAGCACAAGAGGGTGCTTAGGAGTGTTCAGTGTGGATTTACAAAGAGGAAATCATGCTTCACCAAGTTGGTAGCCTTCTGTGAGGAGATGAATGGCTTGTTGGACAAGGGGAGAGCAGTGGCTGTTGTTTATCTTGACTTTAGTAAGGCTTTCAACACTGTCTCCCATAGCATCCTCAAAGACAAACTGATGAAGTATGGGCTAGGTTAGGTGGACAAGCGAGGTGGACTGAAAACTGGCTGCACCCGCTGGGCTCCAAGGGTTGTGATCAACAAAGTCCAGGTGATGAGACCAGTCCCTAGCGGCGTACCCCAGGGGTTGATACTGAGTCAGTCCTGCTTAGTGTCTGTGTTAATGACTTGGATGATGGCGCAGAGCGCACACTCAGCCAGTCTGCAGACAGTACGAAACCGGGAGGAGTGGGTGACATACCAGATGGGTGTGCTACTGTTCAGAGGGACCTCGACAGGCTGGAAATGTCTCTTGACCTACAGGAATCTCATTAAGTTCAACAAAGGGAAATAACAATTCCTATACCAGGGCTTGAATAACTTCAGGCACCAGTAGGTGATGGTGGCTGACTGACTGGAAAGCAGCTTTGGAGGGAAGGACCTGGTCATCCTGGTAGACATGAAGTTAGACAACAATGTACCCTTGCGGCAAAGGCAGCCATGGACACCCTGGGCTGCGTGAGGCAGAGCACTGCCAGCAGGTTCAAGGGAGGTGGTCCTTCCCCCTTATGCAGCCCTGGTGAGACGCCATGTGGAGTGCTGCATTCAGATGAGCTCCCCGGTTTGAGAAAGATGTGCACATCCTGGAGCAAGTCCAGCACAGGGCCACAAACATAATTACAGGGCCTGGAGCGTCTGTCATGTGAGGAGAGGCTGAGAGACCTGGAGAAGAGAAGTTTCGGGGTGAAGAATTGGTGGTGCAAATCTTATAATTGTGTATAAACATCTGATGGGCAGGAGTAGAGAGGATTCTGGCAGACTCTTCTCATTGGTGCCTAACGGAGGACAAAAGCAATAGATACCATTTGAAACACATGAAATTTATCAGAACTTAAAACACTTTTTTACTGTAAAGGAGGTCAGGCACTGGCACAGGTTGCCCGGAGAAGATGTGGAGTCTCCATCCTTGGGGATATTCAAAACCTGACTGGAGAGGGCCCTGAGCAACCCACTCTAGTTCACCCAGCTCTGAGCAGGCAGCTGGACTAGACAGTCTCTGGAGATGCCTTTCCATCTCAGCCATTTTGTGATTTTGCGGTGGTCTGAAACCACCAATTCTCATGAGTATGTCTGAAGCCTGTGAATTTACAGAACGTTTCTGAGTTTCCTTAGCTATTAAGTTTGTATGTTTATTGTTTTGTAATGGTTAGTATACTGGTAATTCTCAGTTCTGTAGAAACTCTTCATGCTAAGAAAACCTAAAGAGATTAAACACATGTACTAAAACATTCTTACTATCTTTAGATGGTTATAATGAATTGCAGAATTGGTAATAATCAAGCCCATGATATTTGAGATGTATGTTTTGGCTGGCCTTTATTTCATTAGCTTTCTTATTGGACAGAATGTATATTCAGTTGGGAGATACTGAAAAAATAATATATTTGTTTTATATAGAAAGTGGAAAAATATTATGCTTTTGAGATCCCGGATGTTCCAGCAAAATCTGAATACTTAGAAGTTAAATATTCGGTGAGTATAATTAATCTGATCAAAGACCATAACCTGCTTTCTTACCTAATGAAGAATTCCATGATTTTGTTTAAATAAAAAAAAAAAAAAAAAAAAGCAGGATTTGACCTTTAGTAGCTAGTGGCTGTACCTCTGTTGCAGTGTGTAGTTAGTTGCTCATTGTCTTGTAACTAAAAAAAAAAAAAAAAAAAAAGGAGGTTAATACCTAAGCTTGTGGCTTTTTTTGTTATCATTTGTATGTTGTTTAGTCCTTAACAAAAACAGTTCATTACCAGGTAACCTATAACATGTTGGTTTGTTAGCATTAGCTTTATTTGTGTAAATAAAGCATGAGGGGAAAAAATACTTCCTACAACTACTGCATTCCTCCCACCTTCTCCCCCAGTTAGAACTTGCTTATTGAATTACAACAATCTATATTTCCAATTACCCCACTTTATTTTTTATCACCTTGCCATGAATGAACTAATCAACCCTTTAACTGTACTGGATCAGGGCCCCAAGTACTGTAAGGTGTTTTAAATTACTTAGTACCCTTAAATGTTTTGTTGAATCCATGTCCAGAATATAGCTGATATCTCTGCTGATATGGCTCTTGCAAATAGCAGCTGGGTGAGAAAGACTTTTGTTGAAGAGCTGTAAAATTGAGCAGCAAAGATGAAAAAAATTCCCATGAGAACATCAGTAGCTATTCTTAATTAGGAAAAATACTTGATTTGGTTTCAAATGTATGAGACTCAGCAATCTTAAACCTATTTGGTCAGTTGCTGAAATAATGCCTTTTTAAACCAATTTTTTTATACTAGTTCTAGGTGCAAGAGCAGCATCCCATAGAGATTTGCTACGTATCTCAAATTTTTCTTTAGCTGTGCAGAAACACTTTATCCAGTCTTTATATGACAGACAAGATAAAAGCTGTAACTATCTAATTAAGTTTACAACATGAGCAGTTTCTGTATTAAAATGGTCATTGAACATTGTTGTAGTCTTGGCTGATGATAATATTTCTTTCTTACATCCAGTATGGATGAAGAACTTTTGCTTGAGTGCGTTTTTTACCTTACTGTCCTGATTTTGTTATGCACCTATTTAAGTTGAGTCAATAGTGTAATTTCTTCAATTACTGTAAGGTATTATGGGTTAGGGCCTTGCTTGTGGGAAGTTACAGTGATTTCAGATATTGTGTAGTTTTGTTAACGTGCTGTCTGAATATAGCGTATCAACCTTGAAGATTTCTGTGGGGTGAAATGACTCACTGCTTTCTGTTACTTGTTAGGCTGAATGCCCTCGGCTTCCCCAAGATCTGAAAGGACAAACATTTTCACATGTATTTGGAACTAACACCTCTAGCCTGGAACTTCTCTTGATGAGTAGGAAGATCAAAGGACCATGCTGGCTGGAAATAAAAAATCCACGTATGGTGGTTTGCATATGAAATACTTGGTTGCTGGAAAACACACATAATTATAGATCAGGGGAGGAGGGGGAATTTAAATTGTACTGATAAATTATCATTTTGTAAATTAACTTTGCAATTTATCTGTGTAATTTTCATTATCCAGTACAAGTTGTAACTTATTCTTCCTTTTTTTGAGTGAGAGCTCTATCCATATAAAGTTGCACACTGTACAGGTGAGATTATGACTTAGAATGGCAGTGAGAGGGAACTATGCAGTGCCTAGCAGCTACTCTTTGGTGCATACCCTAAAGCCACATATACTGAGTTAAAGTTAGTTTCTTAGAAATTCATTCCTTTTTCTTCTCTTGATAACTTAAGATTTGTGTTTTTTCTGCAAATGTATCTTTTTAACAACAAACTGCAGCTAGATGGATTTTTGTTTGTGTGTTAGGTTTTTTTTCTGGCATTTAGAAACGTTTGTGGTGTGGAGCTTTTTTTAGTTTGAAATCCTTTCCGTCTCATGAGTGGCATGCACCACTTACAGGTGGTTATGCTGCCGTATTTTGGCTTGGTTAGAGCCCTTTATTCAATGTGTGCTGCGTATTCCCAAGAACGTAGGGAAGTTGATCATGCTAGACAAAAGCTACATCTATTAGTGCAATCTCCTTGGGGCACTTCGAATATAGAATTGATGGTATTGAATGCTGACACCAGGAGGATTTTCCTCTTCAGCACCTCGCTCAGTCACTGGCAAAGCTGATGCCAGTAAGGGTTTTGAGCTGGAATAGACAAGACACATCCCTGGCTGCCAGAAGACGGATTAGCTCTGATGGGTTTTCCACCAGACATTGGAAAGCATCAGTGTACTTCCTGGCACCGATTTTTAAAAGCCTAAGAGTGGTTTTTGATCTGCACTTTTTGCCCAAGAATTGACATCATATTTCTTTGGCATTTTCTTTCTTCACCTGAAAAGAGTCCAGAGCTGTTTTGTTCCTCATATCCAGTATGACAAATGTTATGGCAATGATAACTAACAGCTCAGGCGGCATTCAATTGTTCTTAATGCTGATGTGCATTATCTCCCCTTAGACTACCTTGCCTGAGCTCAGCTACTGATTCCAGCCCAGAGTTAAATGGTAAACTAAGGGAGCTCTTTTTTTCCCATTCCCTTATCTCCATTACAGCCTTCAGGTTCGAGAGAGAGTCCGTATCTTGATATCAGAATTGCTCATTTCGAAACTGTAGCAACCTCACTCTTTTGAAAATTGTCTGTTAAGCTGGCTGGTTATATTTATGCAAACTTCTGTAGTCATTGCACTGGATTTTGTGCCCCAAAGCTGATTTTTGTGTGTGTGTGTGTCTAGTTTACCAGAAGGTTCTTGCTTTCTTGTGTAGCTTCCCTTCCACACTTCCCACAGAGGGTCTCAGGGTTAAGAAGTATACCTGGAAGGTTTAGAATAAGTGAGTCTCAAACCATTTGATCAAACTCGTACAACTTCTCCAAAAACTGTCATCACTATTCATAATGAAGCTGCCTTTGCAGTTTGAGCATCAGTGATAGATGGCACCAGAACTTTTCTGGAGCAGCTGTCTCCAAACTTGTTAGATTGTGCACCCCATCAGTAAAAAATTGAACATGTACCCCCAATATATAGATATTTATTTATTTATAAATTATATACATGTACTACTGTGCTAATATGTTATGTACATTATAAAATAAACATAAAAATAGAAATTAAAAAGGGATGAGGTATGTGAAATAACCACTTTTGAAAGTATTTATTTTATTTATTAATGATACAAAAAATACTTTCTTCCCACACCCCAGTGGATTGTCTTATACACCCCTTGGGGTTCACGCACCCCACTTTGGAGACCACTGCTCTATAGAGTGCTAGTTGAAGCTCTCATTGTTAAGATATTGGAGATCAAAGGAAAAAGGTGTTAAGCAATTGATAACCTGTCTTCCTTTGGAGAGATCATCAGTGTTTTATAAATGAAAATATTTTAGTCAGTTACCTGTTTGCATTTAGAGCAAGGAAAAATAGAGAAGGTAAAATATGTGGGTTTCCGGAGAGGGGTCAAATAATTTTGCAGGGAGTAAGATAAGTAGGTCTACCAACAGCTGTCTTCAAAAGGTTCATCCCTCAGAAATACAACCTCTGCTTCCTTCTAACTGTGTGTAGTGAATTACTTCAGCAGCATCTTTTGTGAATGATGACTTTTTTTTAAAGCAAGTGAAGAATTACAGACCGAAATATTCAAGTGATAATGGGTTGTGAACACGTCTTCCCCCCCACCCCCCGCCACCCCCATCCATCTATATAATTTTTTAGCTCTTGTACGCTTTGTGCCTAAATAGCTTTCTGTGGCCTCCCTTACATTTTAGGATAGCTTATACTACCAGGGTAAGATGAACTCTCTTTTTATGTCATCCCCCATCTCCTTATTTCCATAATCGTGTTTCTGAAGCACTATATCTAAATGAATTATCCAGTGCATTTCAGTCAGTCATATATTCTTGTTCTCATTTGATCAAAATTCTTTTGTTTAGCATTCTGGCTGCCTTTTCTGTAGTGTTTAAAAAATTTCTGTGTGAATGAAATTTTCACTTGTATTAATTTAATTTTTATGAAGCCTTTTCCCTTTGGACTGACTACAGGGTTAGACGCTAAAAGTCTAATAGTATATTAATTTAGGTAGAGTTATGCTCACTTGGTTTATACCTGTCTCTACTATGACTCTGTATAAAGCTGCCTGAAGTATTTTTTTTGCATCACACATCTTCCTGGCCTCAATACAAATCTTCCCTCTCTTCTTTGGTGTTAAAGAGCCCCTGGGGTGACTAGGCTTCTGACTGCGCAGTCAGGGCCCAGAGAGTTACCAAAAATTGGGCAGGATTAGTGTGGATCTTGGACTATCCCACAAGGGCGAAACGTTAAAAGGAAGTGCTCTGTGCAACAGTGCTGTTAGAGCAGCCTTACCCATGGTTCCCAGAAGAATGAAGGTGGTTCGTGTTGTTTCCTCAGAGCCTTCAAATCAATCAGTCAGCTGGTGCAAGGTGGAAGCTGTGGCCATGAAGCCTGGCTTGGTGAACGTGGTGAAAGATCTTTCTCCTCCTCCTCCTCTTGTGGTCATGTCCCTCAGCATGAAGACCGCTCAGAACCCAAAGACTCACCAGAATGACGTAAGCTTTCATTTTGGTTTGGTTTGGTTTCATTCTTTGGCATATACTAAAAATTTTCTAAGGCTTGGAAGAACTTCACCTGATAAAACATGTCCAAACATATTTATTGTTGAATACACTTTCTGTGTTGTGGGCTTTCCAAAGAAATTTTTACTGGGATCTCACCAGCATAAGAACTGTGGGTTCAGGGGGCCTGTTTGGTGAAAATATTTACTGTGACAGCAGATCCTACGTATTTTTTCAAGCCTTGTATTTTGTCTGTTGTGCATAAGAGTTATAAATGAAACTGTTCCAGAACTGCTGTTAATTGATTACTATTTTTTTTTTTTTTTATTTTGGTAGAGCTAATCATAGTTTCTAGGTAGAATGACTGATAAAACTCATTTTGAAATAGAACGAGAATTTGGTCTAAATCTTATAGCACCTACTATTCTGCTGTGAGATCTTTCCTTTTCTCAGAAAGGAGACATGTAGGTGGCCACTCTCAGCTGTGGACTGCAGACCACGATGTGTAGTTAGGCATGTTTATCTGTTTTTTAATGTAAGTCTCCCTAGCTTAGGAAGAGATTCAGTATTCACTAATAGGATAGGATAGTTGTTTCTGCCTAATTAAATGGAAGAAAAATTAGGCTGACAAATTTTTCAAGCAGAATTAGTCCTCTTGGTAAAGTTAAAATTTTTTGGGGGGGAGTATGGAAAATTCCTGGTTTCTAGCCAATGTAATGAGACATACGCTGGGTACCAAGGACTCTGCTTGCCAAGATGTTTCTAAAGCCTGTCTGCTTTGTCTTCTGTTGGGTTTTCCTGACCGGTGTCTGGGGAGTCAGGACATCCTGCCAGCAAAGCAAGCAGAAGCATCAGTCAAGCTAATAGCTTCTAAATGCTAAAACCTCGTGACTTCTTGGCAGTCTTGACTGCTTGCTCAGGGGCAGCCCTTCCGGAGGCAAGGCTTCTGCATGTCCTGCCCTGCTCACATCTCCCCTGCACTTCATAGGGAATCCTTTAAATTGTGGGGTCTGTTCAGATTCAGAACAAAATTTGATAAAAACAGAGTTTTCCAAAATGAATTATTTTTCCTCTCAAATTTCTAAGATAATCATTTAGGAGTAAGTTCTGCTTTATTTTACTTGAGATCAGTTGATAACTTTTCTTCTTTTTGACTACTTATAGTTGGAATTGATTTTAAAAAGATCTTTTGTAGAAACAAGAGAAAAGAGATGAGAAAACTTAAAAAAAAAAAAAAAAAGGAGGGAAGAAATGGGTATTGATAGTAGTCATGTTTATGAAGTTGTCTGTTCTGTATCTCCGTGGTATAGATTGTGGCTGTGGCAGCTCTGATTCATCAGAAATTTCCTTTGGATAAGGCTCCACCTCAGCCTCCTTTTCAGACACACTTCTGTGGTATGTACTTGGAACATTTATGAGTAGAAAAAGAATTCCTTTGGAGTTTTTCTTTTATTGTTGTGTTCTTGGGTTTTGTTTGTTTGGTTTTTTATTTCCTTCTGTCACTCTACCAATAGTGGCTTAGAATAGGTAGATGACAAAGTTTCAACTCCCAGGCAGGCTTTTCTCCCTACTTTTAACTTCACTGGTTACTGACTTTTTATTGAAGACTTTATTGAAAAAAATCTTAGTTTGAGATGATGTGAAGTAACCCTGCTCTATTCAGTTTCCTGTAATTATTATTAGTTTTACTTCATCATGTGTTCTCTTGGATTACTTTCTTCACCCATTAATTTAGATCATTTATGTACTGTCACTTAGTTATTTTTCAGTTCCATTCTTCTGAACAGAGTTAAAAAAAACCCCATATCACATTTATTTATAAACAAGTTTTCTTACGAAAAAAAAAAATCTTTCACAGCAGTGTCATTATAGTAAGATCAGCTAAACCTTGAGATTCAGACCCCAGTCGGAAGTGATGAAGTGTGTTGAATGCTTATGAGAGGAAGTTCTTCGGAAGCTATGGACCATAGTTTTAATCTCCAGTGATAACTTCAAATATGACTGATTAAAATTGTTTAATGCTTTATTAATTAGTTGGTTATCTTAAAGACAAATATTCACATAAGGCTAGCTTTTCAGAATTAGAGCTTGGTTTTCCTTAGTTCCCTTTTTTGTGGATGGATGCTTATGGGGAGGGTACAACTAAGAACATGTATGTAAGAACAAATATAATTTCTTTTGCAGTTGTTTCCAAACCGAACGATTGCATTTTTCCTTATGACTTCAAAGAAGCTATTAAAAGGAAGGTAATTTCACTTTGTTAGCCTTCTGATTGCAGTACCTTTTAAAATACGAACTTCATGTTGCTTTGGGTAAGTTATGTACGAGAAATATTGAAAGGAATGGCATGATTGTTTCATTAGTTTTCCACTCTGCAAATCTAAATCCAGGTATTTATTCTGTGTTGCTTGTAAAAACAGAGGTGTGTGCTCTGTGTGATTCAGTACTGCTGCTAGTTGTGCTCATAAAATAGACAGAGTGTTAGACAAGAGAGTTGGAAAGGTTTTGCAAAGAGATTAAAATTGTGATTTGTTTTCATTATACCTGACTATGTACTCATAGTAAACTGGGAGAATTTGTTTCTTCTTTCCTTGGAGACTAAAGTCTGTCAAAATTTAGAAGACATCCTTTCTAAAGGGCACTGGGAGAGCTAACAGAATAATAAAGTAACATATTTTTATTTTTTCTCTCTTTCTGTGTGGTCTTAAGCCTGTGAGTGAAGGATGCACATGGAGCATTTTCCTGGTGTGCTTGATTCTTAGGAGGCTCTTAAAATATCACTAGACACCTGCATACAAAAGCAAAATGGAAAAAAGCCTCTGAGAAAAGCTTTCTATGTCTATGGGAATGAGAACAAAAAGCCTTGAATTATAGAAGGAAAGGGAGAACTCTGTGGTGCTTCATTATTGTCTTGTAACTAGTAGGGGAGAGGAGATGTTTCCATTTTAAACTTATTGGGTCATTGAAATCAGGTGCTCTCTTGCTCCTTTTAGAATGCTAAAATAGAAATTGCTGCAACAGAGAGAACACTGCTGGGATTTTTCCTTGCAAAGATTCACAAAATTGACCCAGATGTTGTGGTGGTGAGTAGTTCTGAGACTTTGAGAGTTAAACTAAAGCATATTGTCAGTTGGTCAGCTTTGTTCTTTTTCTTTTGTCCCCTTATAGGTTTTTTTAATGTTTATCTTAGACTGCCTTATGAATTGAATTTGCTTCTAAGACAGCAGGTATACTTTGATACAAACATGATACAGAATTTTCCCTGACAGCATTTTATACATCCTATTACTTCCCATAGTATCTAAAATAGGCAGTATTTCTATAGTACCTGAAACAAGTATTTTTTTCTTTACTCAGAAAGACAAAACACAACAAAAAACCCCTTGTGATTTTTTTCAGAAAAATGGGAACTCTTGATATACTTAAGAGTCTGTTTCAGTTCAGATGCTCATATAATTTGTGTCACCATTTAGATTGTATGCATGCTGTAAATCAAAATGGTAACCTATACAAATCCACAGGATCTAAGCAAAGTTTTTTAATAAGCATTCTTATGTTTTCTACTGTATTGGCAGCTGAGGATTTATTATAATTACTCATTTTCTTTTTTTGTTATGTTTAATTAATGTACAGTCCTGACTTGCATTTAATGACATTTTGAAGACAATTTGAAGTTGGTTATAAATCTGAGGTTGGTTATATACAACTTGTTATTCTTCTGTGGGTAAATATGAATAATTAAGTGGTGGGAATAGGATGCAGTCAGATTCCTGATGTTTTCAGCTCACTGTGGCTGGTATTCGGTATTCGCCCTATGAGCTGAGCTTCCTGGTGGTATTGGGAAGGAAACAGGAGAAACACTGCAGCCAATGGTTTTAAACTGAAGGTGTCAGTAGTAGGGGTCTGAGAGCTCTGATCCTAAAAACAGCAGAGCCATGTTGTTGCACCTAGTTTAATTAGTGCTGTTGAAGAACAAGCTGTATCAATATAGGTAGCACCCCTCTACTATGACTGTAATCCTGCTGATGGTTTTAAGGAGCTTCTTCTATAGTACAGTATTGCACTACACAGATGTACCTGATACGGTGAACCTGCAGTTCCTGGTGACTGGGCCACACAGACTCACGTTCATCAGGGTAGCATTTTGCTTTCAGCTGAGGTTACAGACAAGTGTTGTCAACGTCCTTAGGGTTGTTTAAACTTTGCAAATATTGCTGGAGTACTTTGATACGTAAATATTGGTTGCAAGGTCTTCCTGTCCAGATTTAACAGCTATGCCTGTTGTAGTATCAAAGGAAAAAAATTACGTTATTTTGATGTCAATATTGAGACTTTCATGGATGGAGAGAAAAGGAATTACTTGTAGCTTTATACAGTTTATATACTGTATAAAGAATGTTGGGTTTTTTTCTAGAAAGCTTTAAATCCTAATCTCTGGTATCAAAGCATAAAGCTGAATCGTGTGTGCTATGAGCCAGTTATAGAGCTGATTTTGGTATTCTGCTGAACAGCATTGTTAGTGTTAAGATTAATGAGTACTGTTGATGAATGTTCTCTTAAACAGTGCTTTCTATGAGAGAGATAATGCATCAATTAGTTGGAAAAAAACACAAAGGGCAAAGGAATACCGAGTGTGTGAAAGTAAGTCTTTCAATTTGCATTTGTTGTAACCTTTTTTTGTTATTTTTTCTGCTGCAAGGGTCATAATATTTATGGATTTGATCTGGAAGTGCTGCTTCAAAGAATTAATGTGTGCAAAGTCCCTCACTGGTCCAAGATAGGTCGACTGAGGAGGTCCAATATGCCAAAGCTTGGGGTAATAAAATTGCTTAAGCCTCTTTATGTTGCATGTGATTAAAAATGAATTAATTTTGCTGAGGAATTGTAAATGTGACATTGATGTATTTTGACTGTTGGTCATGCTGGATTTCTTGTGTCCCGGATCAGAAATGATAAGTGTTTATATGACTTTTATTACAGTAATAAGCTAAACTAATTTTCAACTTAGGCTAATTTAGTTTACATATCTCAAGTAGATGATGGTAATGACAGATTAATTGCAATAGTCTTCACTGTAACAGTCTTTGTCTGCTATAACTGTAAATGAGAAAATGTAATTTGGATTGATTGGTGAATCATCCCATAGCGAGCTGCTAAGATAGTAATTCTGTAGTTCTTAGTATGTGTTTGTTCAGAGGACTGTGTGTGAGGCTTGGAGTATTGAAGTGCTGAACGTGGCCGTGTTCTTGCCTGTCTGTTCTTGTCCTTCATAGAGGCCAGGATGAGTATTTGTGTGTGGTTTGTTCTGTGACTTTTTCATCCTGCTGTTAGTACAAAAAATATCCTTGGAGGATAAACAAAATCCACACCCATGTTCTTGTTGGGACTATTCTAATTATTAAAGAAAAAAAAAATGCATGACAGTTTAAGAATTAAGATCTAGCTAGTAATGAGAGTTAAGTATCTACTTTTTAATATCCACATATACTGAAAGATACCATGGATTCCTTTAGGGCATAATTATAAAGCTTGAGTATTAGTGGTATTTAGTAGAGTATTTAGAGTATTAGAGTATTTAGTGACCAACTGACTTGACTGAGTCCTGTAAGCATATATTTTGGATAGATGTTCTTTGTTAATGTTTGTGCGTTTCATTTTGTTTGGGTTTTTCTGTCCTTGTGTGATATGGTTAAGGGTCGAGGAGGGTTTGCTGAAAGGAGTGCTGCCTGCGGTCGAATGATCTGTGATGTAGAAATTTCTGCTAAAGAATTAATTCGTTGCAAAAGTTACCATTTGTCTGAACTGGTCCGTCAGATTTTGAAAACAGAAAGGACAACAATTCTACCAGAGGAAATTCAAAATATGTACAGGTATGTTGCTGACTTGTGATTTTAATCCTTCACTGGAAAGTGGAGGAGCTAGTTTCCCACTATACAATTTCATGCTTGCTTATTTGATTTGTCATGGAGATGCTGACTTAGCATACTGGTATTTGAAAAGTAAAATATTATCTTAACAGTATTTTGTAATGTTTCAAGCTACTGGTGGGTGGTGGCTTATTATGTGCGAAGAAAATTGATTTGTGAGAGCATTGGTTTAGATACGTTAGTAGTTGAGTTTTGAGGGTTGGTTTTTTTTTTCCAATTAAAAGAGCTTGCTATGTAATTCAACACTGGTGTGCTACAGATACCATGTGTTCCATACAGCATATAGGTCTAAACTACTGCAGAGTACAAAGGAGGCTGATTTTACTTTACTAGGCCATCCCCCTTCTTTTCCCAGTGATTCTCCTCACTTAATGTTCATGCTGGAAAACACCTGGACAGATGCCAAGTTCATTCTCCAGATCATGTGTGAGCTGAATGTTCTGCCACTGGCCCTTCAAATAACAAACATCTCTGGGAATGTCATGGTACATTTTTATTACTTCACCCCCCTCATTGTCCCACAAAAACATGTTTTCTGTGTTTGATTTGCTAGTTTTAATTTGTAAACAGTAATTGAGAATATATGATGCTGTAAGTTTTTTTTCTGTGACAAGTGTGAGCATTTGATGATCTACTCAAGTAATAACATAAAACTTCCATAAAAATACCACATTTGAGTTTTGTGTATGGTGATGATACAGAATAATAGCAATGCTAGGTGAACTTACAAATAATTGAAGGATGTTACTTAGTTTATTTTTGTATGTCAGTGTTTTCTGTGCTTTGCTTTGAATTCTTTTTTCGCCCCTCTCTATAGTCGAGGACAATGATGGGTGGACGATCTGAACGTAACGAGTTCTTGCTGCTTCATGCATTTCATGAAAAAGACTACATAGTGCCGGACAAACAAGTTTTTAAAAAGCCTCCGCAGAAGCTGGTGGGTCCAGTTTTTCTCTTTCCAAGAATTCTTATTAAAAAGAAAAAAACATTCTTCTGTCTTTTGCGTATTACTGTTCTGTGAGAGCACGGAAAACCCAAACATAGCCAGTTTTAGATATAACTTAATGTTACAGCTTATGCTTAATTCAAAATATTTTTTTTGGTGAGTTGATAATGGAGGAATGTGTGGCTTAAAGGGACAATGTAACACCTTTTCCATTGTATCACAGATCTATGGAAACTCAGTTGCTCTTTTAGTTTAAAATTGAAATAAGCTAAATACTTGGCTGTGTAGGGAGAAGGTAAAGAAGATGATAGTCTGTGTTGCTTAATAGAAGCACATTTGCTCTACAATTATTTAGCTGATGAACAGTGTTTCAAGTATAATTTGTAAGGTGGGTGATTTGAGAATGTGGATAAAATACCCAAGGGTATTAAAAAAAAAAAATTCCTTTGGATAATACCAGTGTAAATATATTTATAGAAACATCTATATGTTTGTTAATAAACAAAATAAAATTTGAGAATGTATTTCTATTTCACTACATTTTGCTTTTTAGTTTTACTTTTAAATAAGTTCAACAGCAAATTCAAAGCAATAAGTTCCGTTGATTGTATTGTATTGTATTCTATTGCATCAAAGCAGTGCTGGAATTTTTAATGATTCAGAATAGCATTGGACAACTGGGAGAAAAATTCTTACTACAACAAAACAAATAGCAAAATACTCTTTAGGTCAGTAATAGTGTTTTTATTTGTTTCATTAAAGCCCCACCATTGTATTTCTAAAAACTACATTTTAATTGGGCCGTAATACTTCTTCTGGGTCATGAGTTCATTTTTTTCCTAGTGTTGACTTTTACAGCCATCCAGAAAATGCATACTAGTGCTATGTTGAATGATGAAAATTCCTTAAGGTCTTTGTAATCTCTTGTTAGCAATTTGTTCCTATAGGAGTTGGTTTGAATGCTATTTTGACATCTAGAGAGCTTTAATAAGGATCATGATGAAAACACCATGTTTTGCATGTATTTTAAAAGGAACTCTCTGCACTGGCTCCCAATTTCGTATTTGATTTGCCAAAAATAACTCCTCCAACAGTATAGAAATCTTGGAGACTAGATAATGACTTTTTTAAATGCCAAATGTAGGTGGATGAAGATGAAGATTTTGAAGATCAGAATAAATCAAAGATAGGGAAAAAGAAAGCAGCATATGCTGGGGGCTTAGTCTTGGATCCCAAAGTCGGTAAGATGTGGCAATTTTCTTTCTTCTATGAAGTTAGAGACAGGTAGGTTATATTAATGCAGATAGATTGCAATGAGTGCCATCTGTGTATCTTGTGGGAGTTTGGTGTGGTGGGTTGGGTTGTTGCATAGAAGAAAATTCCCAGCATTGTTTGTGGAATTATTTATTCTTCGGACGTTTTTTCCTTATCTTTTTGTGAGAAGATTATGGTCTTGCGAGGAATTAGGACTGTGTATCTGTGTATAATTTTCTGATGGACACGTAAGTTTTCTTTCAGTTTCTCCTCTATGTGGGGAAAACTGTACAAGTGTCCTATAGTAACACAGAAGCTATCTGTTCAACTCTGGTGAGTTAATGGGGTTGGATCGTTCCACTTCTGACAGCTTTCTATAATGGGTATTGGTGCATCTCAACAGCTGCTTTAAGGGAAGTGTGGTACAATGTATTCTCGTCACTTAAATATTAATTGTGGAGTTGGATGAAGTCCTTAGGGAGACCGAGTAATTATGACTTTTGTTTTAAACTCTGTTTTAGGTTTTTATGACAAGTTTATTTTGCTTCTCGACTTCAACAGCTTGTACCCATCAATTATCCAGGAGTTTAACATCTGCTTTACCACAGTGCAGCGACTGTCATCAGAAGCACAGAAAAGGGCAGAGGTTTGTGTGCTTTAACTTGTGACTTAAGTTATACTGTCTTAACTTCAGTATGTTTTCTGTGAATCAGCTTTTTAAGAAACTGTTCTTTTTCACTGTTTAATTTTTTTTTTTCCTGCTCTCACACTTAAAAAAAAGTGATTCTCGTTTAAAGATGCATCATAGTAAGCTTTGGTTTGGGACTTTTTGAATATTATATGTCATCTTCCTTTCAGTAATACTCTTATAGATAAGTTCTCCCATCTAAATAAAGTCTTGGTATCCTCATGAAACAAGATTTTTAGTGAGCTCTGTTGGCCCTTTTCAGCCCCAGCTCCTCCTAGCAATTTCTGAGCTCCTTGACCAATTTCACCCTAACTTGGTAGAGGCTTCCTAAAGTTAAGTTGCCACAGAATTCATGCAAACATACCTGAGTGAGGGAGACACAAGTCTCGTGCTTCTGCCTGGGGGAAAGAATGCAGTATGAGCTCAACCCTTATTAGACATCAGGAGAACTATATGTGTGTCTTGGGAGTGTGTGTCAGGGAGTGATACCATGACTATGTCAGCTGTGGGACCAGCTTCACGGAAATTCATGCTGTTTAATACAGCATTAAACTGTATTAAACATAACTGAAAAACCTCCTGAAGGTGTAGTTCCATGTCCTGTTTGCTCAGCAGCTGTGTTGGCCAAGGCTTATCTGTGGCTGCTTATTCTCATTTCTTCAGCTGTAAACTGAAGCAGTGAGCTTGTCAGATCTAAAGGTTAAACCTGAGGCTTTTATTTTTAACGGGTATCAGCTCACAGGTTGGAATTAGTGTGTTGTGCATAAGTAGTTATGGGACACAGTTAGTCCCATAACAACTGAAATATCAGTACCATAACAGAAATGAGGAAAAAAGTATGTGGAACTCTGTCAGTAGGTTCCTCCAAACTCTCTGTGGATTTACCCCACTTTCTTAAGTGTGCTTCAAACTGAAGCAGCTCATTTTGATTTCTATCATGGTATGATATTTAATCAGGTTTTGGTGTCATTTCTTGTTACAGTTCTTCCCAGACTGCTTTACTAAACTTGCCAACCTCATTGTGTCTCTGTTGCCCTTTCTTTGTATATTTCTGTCTCTTTCATTGTGCTTGAAATTTCTTTCCATTTTTGCTGAGCAACCATTTCTTCCGTTATGCTAACAAGAAGAATATGTGCTTTTGTTAGGTGGTTGTTTTGCTATAATCAAGAATTGCTTGGGGTGGAGTTTTCATTCTGTTGTTACTGTCAGTTTCTCTTTTGTCAGTTACCTTATTCAAAGTATCAGTTCCACAGAGCATGTGCTCCATTTTATAGTTCTGAACACCAAAAATACTTACGCGATAATAAAAAAAGGATTGATTTTTTTCAGCATGGAAAGAATCGCTTGTGTGTGCTTTTCTTTATATTTTTGTATCTATCTATATATACCTGAGAGAGAGAGTGTGTATGTGTTTTATTTATCTGGATTTACTTATATATACACATATATAACATATATATAAAATATACACACTTACATTGGGGCGGGGGG